AAAATCATGGTGTCAAATTGTCTGCATAAAATTGCATCGTTAATCTGTTACAGTACTAAATAACATACTGCGCTCTATTCAAAACTAGTGCGAATATATAGAGGAGAGAAAATCAGTCCACCAGCAATGGAAAAAAATTCATTTGCCTTTAATTCAATGTTCCTGAGACGAACATTTTATGATGCAGCCGCCGGCTTAGGTAATGTATTAGGTATCAGAGCTATCTTACGAGATCCCAAATCTTTCGCTTCGCTAGAATTTGGTGGCAACCACAGATTCTTATTGGGGCTTTTAACAGCAACAACACCTAATCTACTATCCGCTATTGACAACAAATAATGCGAGTCTCCTGTTGAAATGACACTTGCTATCACGTAATCTCCAGGAAGCATGCAATCCCGCACTTTGAACTGCTGAAAAGTAACCATTCTACGGGGAGTGTCGCAATGAATTTGGAAAACTCGAACACATTGAGATGACCAGACAAATATTAGTTCATTTGATTTTCGGACAAGCTAAATTGAATCGCAGGTCTATTTAATTGCAGACAATCTTAAAAAATGCAATAGGGCGATTACGATTTCACGCAAGATAGCCATAAACGTCAGACGGGCAGCGTTCAGAGTTTCTACGGGCAGCCACGGAGAAAGACCTGATGCAGTTATTTTGAGAGCAATTCGAGGCGTTTTTGAATGGAAGCAACATCAGAAGTAATGTTGCTTTTAAATCAGGCCACGACCAGACGCTTACTGTTTACGTTTACTACTGGACTATTTGACGCCACTCAGACATAAATGAGTTACTTCTACGATCTTAAAGGAGACAAGAATGCTACGGACAGCACTACAACGTGGTTAGTAGCTAGCAAAGGTGGAACGGGTGAAAATGTCGTCATAAAGGGCGGAGTTAACAAATAGACTTCACTTCAAGTTTCATGAGATTAATGGCACAAACCAGGCAGATCATGTGAATATTCCCTTCGGTCTGTAGGACAGCCTTACCACGAAACCAGTCCATGGGAAATCGCCCCACTAGAGTGCTAGGGCCTTGCAAAATGATACGCAGCAACTGCAAGCTTTTCTTTTATCGAGCTGTTGTCATGCGCCTCTCGCCTCATACTCTCCTTCCACGGTCATTCTCTCATTACCCTAGCACAGCCTATTGCAAAGGTGAGTAGATCCCTAATTCAAGTGTTTTCGACGGATTCTTCCCCTTTTCTTCTTTACTTCCGTCCATTTCGCACCAATACATTCCTATTCCCTGGATCGAATTGGTGTGCAAGAACCACACCAATTCGATCTTAGGGCATGCTTTCAAACCAGCTATTGAAGATCAAATATGGTTTCAGTTCAATAAATGGATACAGCGCAATGCTGTTAATGAGATCCATAAACCCACGTCTAATTTAACATCTGTTCGCATATCTTCTTTTCGTATAACCGCGCTGAATGAGAGTCCTTGTTGCAAGTCGGTGTCTTCAATACGAAACACTGTACACTTTGCGTTCCTAAAAGTTTCAAATAAGAGAAGATCTAATCGAAAGTGGTGTTGGAACATACTTGTCACTGATTTCCACAACTTTCGCTGTAACAATAGCTCCAATGAAGGGAACTTGATATGTGAACGTGCCGTCGTGGTTCAAAACTTCAACAACTTTTGCTGTTTTATTGCTCTGAATAGAGATTGGATCAACGATGTTGTGAAAATCAAACTCAGCCCTACTCGAAAACATCCCGAAGTAGTCCCACTTTGACTTTGACTTGAAATCGTGAGAGCATAAAACACGCCCATAGCTGATAATGTGACTCGAGGATTGTTCTAGCCAGTGTAAGCGGCTTCAAATTAACCCAATTTTCGGTAGATAAGCCCTAGCTGTCTCAGTAAAAACATCTTCAGACGTGTAGCGTACTCACGTACACCTACAGACCACCGTACTTTAGCCATTTAGGTTCGATGCCCTGATGATGACATTCATTTTTAGCGATGGCGTCACCTGCCGCCAGTTACCAGTTTTGCCACGACCCCTATTTTCACCGAATTCGGTGCAAGCTTTTGTATAGTGGTTATTTGGAGCCCTGATTACGAAAGTGATATTCGTTTGGCAATAGCGTTGTTCAATTACTTTTGCCCGATCTATCCAGTGGGAGGGCGCAGACGAGCAGAAAATAGGCGTCAAACAGCGCCAGCGCCTATAATGAATGTCATATTCGTAATCAGGAGGCCAAATAACCCCTATACGGAAGTTCACACCAACTTTGATGAGAACAAGGATCGTGACAAAGCAACGCCAACCGGCGGCAGGTTGCGCCACTAAAAATGAATGTCATTTTCGTAATCAGAGCATAGAATACTTCCTATGAGCTAAAGATTAGGCGTAGTATGACGCATTATACAAGTACACTGCCACAGAGCGGTAGCTGTTTACGGGAAATTGGCCTAGGGCTTTATCCACTTGAAATATAGGTACAGTCGATATCTCGAAGTCTGATTGGGCGTGTCACCGGAAATGACGTGGCAGCCACCGCACTTGATAGAAGTTGCGCGGATAAGCTGCTTCCAACACGCTTTGCTGATATCTGGCGGAGTATTTTATCCACACAACATCTATCAAGTGCGGTGGCTGCCACGTCATTTCCGGTGACACGCCCAATCAGACTTCGAGATATCGACTGTAATATCAACCACCATCACAGACGATGGAAAGCGATATTGTAGCACACGGAAAACCCGCAGCGGAGCCCAAAGACCCAGAAACTTTTGGCGCTATTCCAATATTACTGCCCCAAAATCTCAAAATTTTATTTTTCGTCGAAACTTTGCCTATAGGGGTAATTCGATGCCCTGATTACGAATATGACATTCATTTTTGATGGCGCCATTTGGCCAGTTGGCGCCACCTTGTCACGACGGCTGTTTTCACCAAATTCGGTGTAAACTTGTGTATAGGGGTTATTTGGTGTCCTGATTACGAATATGACATTCGTTTTTGGAATTGGCGCTGTCTAACGCATATTTTCTGCTTTCCTGGACTCTCTCTCACTTGGGTATAGTGCCTATATGTAAGCTTGTTGGGAAGGGGGACTCTGGATTGGGTAAACTGCGCATTATATGGCAAAAGATGGGTGTGTAAAATCACATGATGGGTAGCTTACTCACCCCTGCCCTCTTCTCTTCAAAGTTTAGTCCCGATCGCGATCAAATCAGTGAGAGAGGCTCCGAGACTTTTTTCCACACTTTGGGGCGCGGTCACGCCCCAAAGTGAGAAAGTCTCGGAGCCACTGAGAGGGCGCAGACGAGCAGAAAATAGGCGCAAATTGCGCCAGCGCTAAAAACACATTTCATATTCGTAATCAGAACACCAAATAACCCCTACATACAAGTTTACAGCGATTTGGTGAAAACAGTTGTCGTGACAAAGTGGCGCCAAATGGCGCCAGCATCAAAAATGAATGTCATTTGTAATCAGGGCATCGAATTACCCCTATAGGCGAAGTTTCGACGAAAATAAAATTTTGAGATTTTGGGGCAGTAACAGTGCAGTAGTGAGCTTTCCGGTGATAACTTAGTTAAGGGGGGGGGGGGTGAGGCACGCGGCGGTGCAGCGCTCTATTCGTCTGCACCTCCAAGGCTTAGTCTTCGCTCCCACCGTACTTCGTAACAACTGCCTCGCAGCGGCGATGATAACGGCACTTCGAAGGCCGTATTCAATCCTTCCCCCAGGGGATATCCCCCTCCTCTGATTCAATCCTCTGGGGGGACAAAAAAGGGTTGCGTCATAGGACCTAGCATACCTCTGTGTTTCTACCTGCCAGACAGTTAGAGCAGCGCGACCCCTCAGGGAAAAGAGTGCTTCATCAGTGGAGGGTAGTAGCGCTGCTCTAACTGTCTGGCAGGTAGAAACACAGAGGTATGCTAGGTCCTATGACGCAACCCTTTTTTGTCTCCCCT